CTTTAAACAACTGGTATAATTCTAGTGAAATTGCCAAAGTCTGGAATTGTCTTTTCTGGAATTTTTTAAAATTAGGAATTAATTCCTGTAATAATTATATTGGGTAAATTTTGGTAGTTTGTGGTTTTTTAATAATTGACCCACTTCATCTAATTTCCAAATCCATGTGGGCAGGATACTTGTAGCATTTCCTTATTATTCTTTACATGTCTACAGGACCAGTAGCAATATTACTTTTTTCATTCCAATATTGGTAATTTGTGTCTTCCCTCGTTTTTCTTTGTCAGTTGTTCTAGATGCTTGTCAGTTTTATTGTTTTGTCTAAGAACCACCTTTTTACCATTGGGTTTCATTGTTTTTCTGTCTTCAATATAATTTTAATATCAATACATGTCCTTTATATTCCCTTCCTTCTGTTGGTTTTAGGTTTATTTTGCTCTTCTTTTTCTTAGTTCCTTAGCTGGAAGCTTAAGTTTTTGTGTTTAGACTTATCCCCATTTCTATTATAAGCATTTAGTGCTATAAATTTCCCTCTCAGCACAGCTTTACCTGTGTCCCACAAATTTTGATATATTGTATTTTCATTTTCATTCAGTTCAATGTATTTTAAAAATTTCTCTTGAGACCTTCTCTTTGACTCATATATTTTTTTATGTGTGTTGTTTAGTTTCCAAGTGTTTGGAGATTTTCCTATTGTCTTTCTGTTGTTGTTTCTTAATTTTATCCCATTGTAGTCAGAGAAAACACTATGAATTACCTGAATTCTTTTAAATGTTTGTGGGTTGTTTTATAGTCCAGAATATGTCTTTGTTGGGTGCTTGAAAAGAATGTAAATTCTACTGTTTTTGCAGGAGTGTTCTATAAATGTCAATTAGATCCTGTTAGATGATGATGTTGTTGAGTTCTTTGTATCTTATTGATTTTTCTATCTAGTTCTATCAGTTGTTGAGAGAGGAAGTTGAAGTCTCCACTATCAATGTGAATTTTTTAATTTCTCCTTTCAATTCCTTTAATTTTTGCTTCATGTGTCACACAGCTCTATTGGTTGGTGCATACACAGTTAGGAGGACTATGTCTTCTTGGTGGATTGACCCCTTTATCATTATGTAATGCCCCTCTCTGTCTCTGGTAATTTTCTTTGTTCTGAAGTTCACTTTACTAATTCTAGAGCCACTCCATTACTATTTTTTATTAACACTTGCAAGATATATATTTTTTCATCTTTTTACTTTCTACCTGTTCATATCATTAAATTTGAGATGAGCATCTCACAGACAGCATATAGTTGGGTCATGTTTTTTTGTTTATTTGTTTGTTTTTAATCCACTCTGCCAATGTCTGTCTTTTAATTGGTGGATTTAGGTTATTTTGACTTTAATGAACGTACTACTATTTAGTGCTTAATTATACCAATTTATTTTCTTTGTTCTGTTTTTGTTTCTTTTTAAAATTTTTTAAATTTAAATCCAAGTTAGTTAACATATAATGTAATAAGGATTTCAGGAGTAGAAGTTAGTGATTCATCACTTATGTATAACACCCAGTGCTCATCCCAATAAGTGCGCTCCCTAATGCACATCACCCATTTAGCCCGTCCCCCCACCCAACTCCCCTCCAGCAACCCTCAGTTTGTTCTCTGTATTAAAGAGTCTCTTATGGTTTGCCTCCCTCTCTCTTTTTAACTTATTTTCCCTCCCTTCCCCTGTATTCATCTATTTTGTTTCTTAAATTCCACATATGAGTGAAATCATATGATATTTATCTTTCTCTGACTGACTTATTTCGCTTAGCATAATACATTCTAGTTCCATCCACATTGCTGCAAATGGCAAGATTTCATTCTTTTTGATTGTCGAGTAATATTCCATTGTATGTGTGTGTGTGTGTGTGTGTGTATGTGTGTACACACTGCATCTTCTTTATCCATGTGTAAGTTGATGGACTTTTGGGCTCTATTCCATGATTTGGCTATTGTTGATGGTGCTGGTATAAACATTGGGGGTGCATGTGCCCCTTTGAGTCAGCATTTGTGTATCCTTTGGATAATACCTAGTAGTACAATTTCTGGGTCATAGGGTAGTTCCAGTTTTAAGTTTTTGAGGAACCTCCATGCTATTCTCCAGAGTGGCTGCACCAGTTTGCATTCCCACCAACAGAGCAAAAGTTTTCCCTTTTTCTCCCCATCCTCATCTGTTGTTTCCTGAGTCGTTAATTTTAGCCACTCTGACAGGTGTAAGGTGGTCTCACTGTGGTTTTGATTTGTATTTCCTTGATGATGAGTGATGTTGAGCATCTTTTCATGTGTCAGCCATCTGGATGTCTTCTTTGGGAACGTGTCTGTTCATGTCTTTTGCCCATTTCTTCACTAGGTTATTTGTTTTCTTGGGGTGTTGAGTTTGATAAGCTCTTTATAGATTTTGGATACTAGGCCTTTATCCAATATGTCATTTGCAAATACCTTCTCCCATTCTGTCAGTTGCCTTTTAGTTTTGTTGACTGTTTCCTTTGCTGTGCAGAAGCTTTTTATCTTGATGAGGTCCCAATAGTTCATTTTTGCTTTTGTTTCCCTTGTCTCCAGAGACATGTCTAGTAAGAAGTTGCTGTGGCTCAGGTCAAAGAGGTTGCTGTCTGTTTTCTGCTCTAGGATTTTGATGGCTTCCTGTCTTATATTTAGGTCTTTCATCCATTTTGAGTTTATTTTTGTGTATAGTGTACGAAAGTGGTCCAGGTTCATTCTTCTGCATGCCACTGTCCAGTTTTTCCAACACCATTTGCTGTACAGACTGTCTTTCCATTGGATATTCCATTGGACATTCTTTCCTGCTTTGTCAAAGATTGGTTGGCCATATATTTGTGGGTCCATTTCTGGGTTCTTTATTCTGTTCCATTGATCTATGTGTCTGTTTTTGTGCCAGTACCATACTGTCTTGATGATTACAGCTTTTTAATACAGCTTGAAGTCTGTAATTGTGATACTTCCAGCTTTGGTTTTCTTTTTCAGGATTGCCTTGGCTATTTAGGGTCTTTTCTGGTTCCATACAAGTTTTAGGATTGTTTGTTTCTAGCTCTGTGAAGAATGCTGGTTTTACTTTGTTAGGGATTGCATTGAGTGTATAGATTGCTTTGGGTAGTATTGACATTTTACCAATATTTGTTCTTCTGATCCATGAGCATGGAATGTTCTTCTATTTCTTTGTGCCTTCTTCAATTTCTTTCATAAGCTTCCTATAGTTTTCAGCTTGCAGATCTTTTACCTCTATGGTTTAGGTTTATTCCTAGGTATTTTATGGGTTTGGGTTCAATTGTGAATGGGATCAAGTCTTTGGTTTCCTTTTCTGCTGCTTCACTATTGGTGTATAGAAATGTTTTTGTTTCAACAACCCAGTGAAGAAATGGGCAGAAGATATGAACAGACACTTCTCCAAAGAGGACATCCAGATGGCCAACAGACACATGAAACGATGCTCAGCATCCCTCCTCATCAGGGAAATACAAATCAAAACCACACTGAGATACCACCTCACGCCAGTCAGAGTGGCTAAAATGAGCAAATCAGAGAACTCTAGATGCTGGCGAGGATGTGGAGAAACGGGCTCCCTCCTACACTGTTGGTGGGAATGTCAACGGGTACAGCCCCTCTGGAAAACAGTGTGGAGGTTCCTCAGGAAACTAACAATAGAACTCCCCTAGGACCCAGCAATAGCACTGCTAGGAATTTACCCAAGGGATACAGGAGTGCTGATGCATAGGGGCACATGGACCCCAATTTTCATAGCAGCACTCTCAACCATAGCTAAAACATGGAAAGAGCCTAAGTGTCCATCAACAGATGATACAAGTTTTCTGCCTTGGTGGGCTTCCCTTGTCCTAGTCTTTTAGCTAAAGAGAGTAAAGTTTTGTTGGGAACTTTTTGTCTGTGTCCATTGGCATTTTGGGGTTGCCAGCTTCTTCAGGTCCGTGTCTGAGATCTATGAGCCAAAAGGAAACCCAGAAAACTCACCACCACATCATTCCTCAGGTCCCAAGGTCCCTTCTTCTTTCCACTTTCCAGGATCTTTTACGTTTGTTTTATATAAATATCCAGAGATTTTAGTATACTCAGTGGGAAAATGGGAAGAGTACGTTTCCATTTCTCCAGAGGCAGAAGTCTAGACATTGACATTTTAGTGCCTGATTCTGTACTGCCAAGAGGATTTCTGAGAAAAAGAAATGAATGAATGCCTTAGCAGAACAATTATTTCATGTGTACATCATGAGAAACAAAAAGAAATGAAATAAAATAAAATGCAAAAAAAAAAAAAAGCTTTACTTGACTCATCACAGGTGTGCTTATCTGTCATGGAGGGCATACCTTGGGGTAGACATGATAACAGCCTGCTTGGCTAGTCTTTTCATAAACCAGTACAGCAGAGGTTCGTGAGCCCTTTCCAACACCCACTGCTTTGTTCCACTGACTATCAGGTTATAAACTGTTAGCTCACTTGGCTGGGTGCTAATGGGTTCAGAGTTGGGAGCTGCCCCTTCATTGGGCCATATGCTTACTCTACTAGAGCAGAAGTGTCCATAAGCTGTCACCTGATCCAACTACCATGGTTTTAGTATACGAAAATTGTGATAGAAAACAGAAGAGTTTTTCCCTCGATTTCACTATTTATCACACACAAAACATAGCCAGACCTAGGACTCACATTCCCTGCCTTTAAGCCTAGTGTTATTTTAGTTACACAGGCTGCTTCTCCACCCATCCTTCAGCTCTCCAGTAAATTTTGTTCTGCCCCATAGCCAGAGACTGCCATCTCATTCCAGCCAACTGCTCAAAGAAGTGCCCCTCATCCCTGGGGATGGGAGGGGCTCAATGAGGGTGGTGGGGTGGGGAGAGACATGAAAGGGAATGTGGCTGACTCCACCCAAATCTGTCTTCAGAGTGAAAGTCTGTGATTCACGGGGTCAATTGTCTCATCTTCATATCTGAAAGACAGTGTACTTTTTGTCTCCCTAAGCCCTGTGTCTAGGTCGTTTGGGAAGCGCCTTGGAGAGTCAAGAATAAAATTGCAGGTCAAACAATGGATGACTGGAAAAGTCGGCTTGTAATCAAGAGCATGGTTCCCCATTTCGCCATGGTGGGAAATCGTCAGGAGCCCAGAAAGCTCCAGGAATCGGTCAGACAATGGGCTATTGGGGGGAGGGGGGTATTGAATGCTTCTAATCTTAAACTTGAATATAAGATGTGTTATTGAAATTCTCTGTGCAAATTTGTTGGCAGGGAACCAACCCAAAATGTAAGGGACTAGAATCTGACCTAGAAAAGATGTAGGAGATGAGCTGACCTTACCCCTTATGAATTTCTGGAAGAGCGAGAAATACAGTCCAAGTCTCCATCTGGATTCCCAGTCTAGTGATCTCTACACTGCACCCCTTCAGCTAGAAAGAAAGGAAGAGTGAGAAGGAAGAAAAGCCTTCTTTTTCTCTTAATAGAAACCAGAGAATGTGGGACTAATAGGCACTAGATATATTTCATTAGCTTCCTAGTACCACCAAGAACAGGAAGCCGGTGAGTAGGGAACAGAAAGAGATTCCCATTCAACTCTCTAGGTCTGGTGTCCTTTAAAAAACCCATTTGACAAATTCCTACTTTCCCCCCTTGGGATCTAGACATCATCCATGTATCTGAAACTTAGGGTTAGGGCTTCCAGTGGTAGGTCTAGGAGCCAGGATGATAGAGGGTACCATGAGAGCCACTGGTTAGTTGAATTTGGCATCAAAAGCCTGCAATATCACCCGTCTACCAAGATTAGCTCCTTTAGTAGAAGTTGCAGCAAACACAATGGCTGTTATCTCAGCATATTGGGTCCACAGAGGAGTGGCTTACTTAATCTCTGAAATTAATAGAGCAGAGAGGAAATGGCTCTTATAGAGCCATGGGTCTGCTTCCTTCCTGTTCAGAGAACTGGGAGCTCGGGGCTCTGAGGTAACGTCATTTCACATAACTAGAAGGCCTGGCCTCTCCAATTCCAAGGGCAATCCATTTTCAGTAAGTTAGCTTTCTATTTAGTCTAGGATTCTGAGATGTGCACAGGTGTTGGGGGAGATTGTCAAAATCTTGTTTCTCTGTTTTTCTTCATTGTCTATACTGACAGTATACTGAGAATGTGATATCCTCAGTTGAGTATGTAGACATTAACAGACTTTGATTGCCGGAGTTCCAGCTCACAGAGATGGCAGTCAGATGGGATGGCAGTCATGGAGCAATCACTTGGCTAGCCGCTTGTCCCCCAAGTTGCCAGCCCTTCAGTCAGTCATCTCATAGCAGGCAATCTCTAACATCTGTCTTAATTACCCCTTATATTTCTTGCTTCTCTTTTATGGTCAACAACTGAATCAGTGAAGGAAAATCTCATGGTAATACATCCAGAGTCCAGATTCATTTGGGTGTGACTTTCAATTTCTCCTTGGTACACTTGTTTTTGTTCCTAGGATCTGTGTGTGGGTTGTATCTACAAGGGTCCTCTTCTCCTTCTCCTCATGAGCCCCACCAAAACCTTTTAAAAAATATGACTAGTAAATAACTGCTTTGGTTTTCATGAGTATAGACTCAATGCCAAAAGGGGTTTCCTTAGACTAGGCCCTTGGAACAGCTAACCATGCCCTCACTTGGGGAAAGTTGCCATTGCTCATGCCATGTCTGAGCTTGGCATCTCTTTGCAGATGGCCTTTTAGAGCCCTTTGTAAGCCTTGCCAAAAATTCACATTTATTGCTTTAGAGTCACACCTTGGACTTGATCAAAATCAGTCCTTCTCCTTCTTCTGTGGCACACCTTGTTCTCTGTCCTTGGCTCTGACTGAGCGACCTGACTGTTTCCAAAATTCCAAGCTGTCCTAAAAGACCAAGGATTTGCCCCAGTTGAGGGGATTCAAAAAACATGCCTCAGGCTCCAAAAGCAACTCTCTCAGATGAGTCCTCTTTGCAGCCAAAAGCACATGTTTCTTCTTGGAAGATGCATGTGGCCTCTGAAGGGGATGACGTTGAAAAAGCCCACTCCCTTGGCTGGGTCTGATCGGTAGGCATAGAGTCTGGTCCAGCCAGGTGCTGCTGCTACTATCAGCCAGCAGCCAGGGCAGTCCTTGGCTTGAGCATAGCTGAATTTTCATGATTGTTAAATCCCTGCAGTCTCAGGAAGATACGGGCTCTAACAGAGAGCTCTGCTGCACATGCTGAAGTTCTCAGCAGCCTGGGTGTTTGTGGCCTGAGGGACAGAGACAGAGAGATGAAATGCAGAATGGCCTGTAGGTTCGCCATGAAACCTGCTGTCTAGGCAAGTTATTGCAGGGCTCAGAATGTGAGCAGCAGGGAGAAGTCCTTTGTGGGGGCTGAGCTTGCGCTCCCGGGTGTGGCCTGAGCTGTATCTCTACTGTTTCCATTGCTTGCTAACATCCAGGGATGACACCCCAGCCCCAGCCCCAGGAAACTGTGTGCGCCACTCTCCCTCATCCTGCAAGCATCTTTTCCCCATGGAGACCTGATTGAGACACTCAGTTTACCTGGTTGTTTTGTGCTTTATCACAAAACTAACAACAACAAAAATGTTTCAAGTAAAGATCTTTTAATAAAAGTTTGTCAGCTTCAAAGGAGAATTCTCTTAAATTAGTCCCAGGCTTTCCAGGAATGTGAATAATCTAGAACCCCCTTGCAGGAAAATGTACATCCAATGTGATGATTATTCTTGGCCTAAGACCAGAGCTTGGGACACCTGGAGTCTAGTCTTGCTTTTGCTCCTAAATAGCTCTGGGACTTTGTCCATCTTTTGCCCTCCCTGAGGCCAAAAGTCAAATGAGCCAGGAGTAAGGATAGCCACATTTAATTGAGCACTGACTAGGTGCCAGGTACTTGTGGAATATTATCTCCTGTAATCCTTAGGTTAACCCTGGGTTGAAGAGGCTATCTCCAGGAAACTGAGGCTCAAAGAGGTTAAGCAACTTGACCGAAGTCATAGAACACGTTGAAAATCACAAAGCGCTGAGCACCTATCAGGCAGCAGTAGTCATCATTAGAGATCTCAGCGTCACAATTACCTTTTCAGTATTTGCTCATTCATTCAGCAGCATGATTGCTTAATGAGTCTTGTGATCTGGAGAAAAGCAGAGTTTTACCTTTTGAACATTTGGGCATCCACCCAAGGTTAATAAGGCATCCAGTCTCTGCCATCAGTGTATATGGAGTTTTAACAGGAGGCAGAACGTTTGGTCCTTCCCTTTGAAGTTAAAATCTCCATTCCTCCCCCAGATTGGTGGGTTGACTGATTCCTAGTGTGAGAATCTCTAAAACATTAGCACTGCAGATGGGAGTGCTTTGGAGTCTGCATGGAAGTAGAACTTGGTGTACATGTCTCATGTCAACTCTGTTTCAGTCTACACCCACCACAGGTACAAATGGCCCAGCTCTGAGCAGCCACCTAGTCTTTTCAGCTCCAGACAAGAGAGGGGTGTTAAGGGCACACAGTTGGAGAAGGAAAGAGAGACTGTGCTCTTTGCTCATCTTCTGTGTTTTGTCATTTAATGATACTAAATGGCTCGCTATAGGTGACAGTGAGTTGTCGTGCCTAGCATTACTTTTGAATTTTCTAACCATTCTCCCTCTTAAATGGATGAGGACACTAAGACCTTGAGAAACCCAGTGACTTACAGAGAGATGTCCATCAAGAAGGCGGGGAGCAATATCGAGAGTCCTCATGGGGGTGACCCCAAGTGCAGCCTCCTTTCCACCCACAGACTGACCAAAACCCACCCATCACCCCTTCTTCTCTAAATGCCACCTCTAAATGCCAGTGGGGCTGAGCAAGGGGGAGAGAGGAGCCCCAAGTGTAACAAGGAATGTATAGATTTGTATGGCTACAAAAACACTGGCCCCATTTTATCTGCCTCTCTTCTTTAGACTGTGACCTTAGAAATACCCAGTAGGAGGAGGCTAGTCACCTCCTGCTGTGGCATGTGATCAGGTTCAGGATTTGTATCCATCATCCTTGGAGGCACATGCTTTTCCTTCCAAAAAGAGTACAGGACTCTGTAAGGAGACTTCAAACTAGTGGTTTGGGAGACCTTGAGCATGTCCTTTTCCTCTTGAGCTTGGGGGGGCTGTCTCTGGTCTCCCTCCACATTTCCAGGGTCTGTCCTGTGTGCCCAGCCCAGTGCTACACCTCAGGCTCCAGCTGTCCCCAGTCAAGGAGTGGACTGTTCCAGGATTTCTGCACTGGGTACAAATCGGTACTCCTCTGTAGTTCTACTTATCCTATCCTGAAACTGGGAGGAGAGGAGAGAAAAATGGAGTGGGTCTATTTTGTGACCTACTTTGGGTACATTGGCTCATCTGCTCCTGTGACTCAGGGATTAGTATACCCACTTCTCTGATGAAGAGGCTGAGGCTCAGAGAAGATGGCAACTTTACAACATTACAGTCAGTAGGTTGGAAATTCAGATCTCAAATCCAGGTGCCCTGACTCCAAAGGTCCTCCTCCTTTGCTGCTTCCCATTCTCAGATTAGGAACCCAGAGAGAATCTCCTGTAGGCTGGCCACGACTCTGGAGACTCAGGCCAGAACAGTGGACCAGAGTCCTGGGTTGCCTGGAGATTTCCTTCCAGTGGCAGAGATAGCCCATAAACAGAAATAGAGTGGATGCATCTTTATTTCACTCTGGTGGTTCCCTAGAACCTTCTGACCAGCATTGTCTCCAGCCCAGCCTGTATGCAGTGAGCCGGACTAATTAAAAACCCTACAGGGAGATAGGGACAGCCAGCCAGGACCTGGTCTAAGTTGTCTAAACAGCCTTTTTGGAATCTTGGAGGGGAAGCCCAGTGTTCCCTGCTTCATGCAGGCTGTGGCCATGCTTCAGGTACAGGTCTGGCCCCAGGAGATGGAGCTATGCATATGGCCCCCACTTCCAGGAACCAGGTGGTCCAGGGACCAGCTCATCAGGTAGGTCACTGTCCCTGACACTTAGTGATATCTTGCGTGAGTGTCTGGGCTTTAGTCCACACCAGTACCATAGGGTTAATAATCTACCCTCTGCCCACATGAGGGTTTCTGGGATGGTGATGACCAAGATGTGGATATAAACGCAGTCTAAACACCAGGTATTACTGCTGTTTGCACTTTTTTCTAATGATC